AACAGAATAAGAAAAGATAAGAAATATAAGATTTTATTAAGTTTTAAGCTCCTCCTGAAAAGTAGCTATTTTTGACTAGTGCCCCTTTTCCCGAAAACCGTCCAATTAACCCGTATTAGATAGGGACATACTTGACTTTATTACCATTAAAAAATTATAATTCAAAAACTAAAAATCATATTTAAATTATAATTACACCATCGTATTCAGCGCAAATTTATCTTTAAGAATAAATTACAAAAATAATATTAATGTTCTATATTTACGTAATAAATGTACATATAAACAGTAAAAATAGGTAAACTGTTTCGTTTACATAATTATTATTATTATTTACTACAGTTTGGATACTTGACTGTTTCTTTTTTGTTTTTCCTTACTAGTCATAGACTAAACTCATAGTATCTTTATAATTGGCTCTTTTTACAATAAAACATATTATTACTACAAAAAGCAGTACAATATGGCTTTAGAAAATTCTTTCTTCTGATCAACACAACCGACCAATTGGATTGAATCACCTTGTCAATCATTGAAGTAATAGTTAATAAATTATCCATATTAAGTTCTTAATTTTTCAATGTTTCTAGTGTCGATTTTCTAAAGTAGAAATTAAACTATATAGATTATTAGATGAATGTATCAAGTGGCCCTTTAATCGCATGTCTATACAATTTACATTTTACATAATAAACAATTTACATTTCACATAATATAGGTACAATTTATATTTTACATAATAAACAATATACATTTTAGGTACATATTACTATACTAAATACTATACTCTATTCCAAATAAGTCTGGAAAACATCACTCATGCAGGTCCACGCTGTGGTTAGGTTTTTGGCTACGGATTCAGTACTCGTCGTGAGATACGCCTTCCGGTAGATCACGTGACATACCTGCTCGAAACCGGACATTTTTTCCATACTTATTTTGAATAGAGTATATCATAATAATACAATACAATTATAAACACTATTCATCTGCGCTGTCGGTCGCCCCACAGCAGAACGTACGCCTGACGAACCGCTTCGTCCGGTTCCAAAGTGAACGCCTAGACGCGACCGTGGTTACCGCCAGGTGGTCCGTCCCCGCGTCACTACGGCCACTGCTGGTTGCCGTATCCGTTTCTCCGGCTTCTACCGGTGGCAACGGCGACGAGACGGACAACGGTGATGAGACGGACAACGGTGACGAGACGGACAACGGCGACGAGACGGACAACGGTGACGAGACGGACAACGGTGACGAGACGGACAACGGCGATGAGACGGACAACGGCGACGAGACGGACAACGGCGTCTCGATCCAACGGTCGTTTTCTGCAGCGGCAGGTGGCATCAATGTCGCAGGAACAGACGATTCGTCACGTGATAGCGGTTCCATCGAAACGGGCAACTCCGCGGACGACAATACAATTTCTGGAACATCGCCAGAGGAATTTTCACGCACATCCATTCCCTTGAGCTGCTCCGGTAACATCAAGTTGGGTGCGGATTTCCAACCGTCCTTTGTAGATGCTCCTTCCGTGGAATTTTTACTCAAGTCCATATTTGGTAGAGAAATAAATCTTTTGTGCAGCTTCAATCTACGGAAATCGCAGCTGTCTAGCGATCTTGGTCCATTCGACCTAAGTTCGTTAAAAATCACATGCATCTTTTCAGTGTCTGATAGCGATTTGATGTCTGACGATGTCTGCTCTTGAGCGGCAATATTAATTGACATATTGATATACTATTTTGATTATGTAAGCAGAATAATTATTAATATATTATTTTACAAAAGTTCGATTTTAACTACGGATTAGCAATTATTCGTGATTTATTATAATATATATATGTTACCGGAATAGATGAAAGTTCAGGAATTGTCGGTATATCCTAGTCATTGTTGACAATGGCTGGAAAGGTTAGGCAATGTTGGATGTTTCGTAGTTTTATCAACATGTCCGTATTATATTAGACAATGTTTTAAATCCGAATCGAAAAAAATATCGACACCGCGCTTTATGCGGTGATCGATCTGATTATGAAACATAGCTATATCTATATTATCTATTACTTATTAGTTATTATAGTATATAATATGGTAAATCCTGTTTTATGTTATCGTTTTTATTGCTTATAACTTATAATAAAATTGATTACACAGAACTATCGTACCTAGCAGGTATCGTTATGGTCTCATCCCGAAAGTGACTGTACACTGCACAGTATTGTTTGTGCATAGTGCATTGAAGTAGTGAATAGTAACGTGTAATAACTAATAACATTGTTTTTTTTTTTCAACAATCTCCTTAAAAATGGATTTAAATTAAATGCGCATAAAATTTGATAACGCAATTCTATTATTAATTGAATCGAAACGTAACGACAGCAACTTTTTTTTGAATAATGAAGAATATTGTGAACGAATCGAAGAAATAAAAAACTACTAGTTATTGACGTTAATTCCTTACTAAATCAGGCCTTATCGTTATGGACTAGTCATTGTCAACACTGACTGAATGTCATCTTTTCCGGTAACATATATACGAATTATTGATTTTCCAAACACTTATACACTTGGCAACAAGATATTTGTTATTTTTATAAATCTGAATGTATATTAATTTTTTAACATATGTTATAGGTACAACATTTATTTATTAAATTCTTATTTTTTAGTTATACCACTCAAGTATAAACCTAAAAGTTATTTTATTATTTAGGGGGGGGGGTTGGGTGAGTTGGATTGGAATTTGTTGAGAATGGATTTCCGGCTATGCTACCTACATTTTCGAGTAGGTAGGTATTTTCTCGGGCTCGCGTCGTCGGGATTGGCTTGTGGACAATTTTGTAAACGTGTTTTCCCCCGAAGGCCGGTGGTGGTTTGTACGGGAATAGAGGACTCTGATCGAGGTGGGTAGGACCAGGTAACCGAACTTGGTTGTGAGCCATCAAAGAATACAGTCCTGCGATACATTTTGCGTTTGAAAATTATAGCATTGGCCACGCATAGCTTTAAAAACACTTACTATAGCTAAGAAAAAACAATGTCATAATTTATATCGCCATTGGTTAGTTTTATACATATATTATCAATGATATTATTCTCACATAATTTAAAGGCTCTGTCAAACAGAACGTACAACGCAAGTTAAAGCACGTCTTAAAGCAATGGCTCGTCGGCGTAGCGCTTTCACGCACGTGAATAACGCCGCGTTGTAACAAATTACAAAATCACGCTACGTGAAAAACAAATAAAATTTTAAACTTGTACCTAGATATAAAAATTGTCGTACTACTCATACTTGGTCATGACTCATCAGTGATGACTGATGAGTATAAAATAAAATGTGTACAAATTGCGCGTTTTTTTAATAATATATTATATAACTGAAGCAGTGCTGATGCTTAAAGTTGTGCGTTAGTCAAAAAGAGAAAACAAATAGTGCACTGTCATCCTCTTATATCCCATCATTACGAATACTCTTACCCGATATTTGTATGTATATATCAACTAAACGTTAGTGTATTCGTTTTGTATTTCGTAAAAGTTCTATCATTATTTATCATGTGATGCAAAATTTATAATTTTTAATGTTTCTAAAAACATCAATTTCAAAATTTTTCAGCATTTTTCAATAAGTATATTATAAATTATATACAATATAGGTACATGTAAAAAAATCAGCCACCCAATGGTGACACTTTATAAATTCATAAGTCTTTACATAAATATATATTTTGAATTTTTAACATTAGTTTATATAGGTATGTTTTAAATAAATTAACATTATGAATACTAGTAAGTTTAAGATCCTATCACATTCGTCTTTCATCAAACAACCAATAGTTTATACACTGCCTAGTGTCAGTCGTAGTAAAAACTACAAGTACAACAATAACATTCGATCAGCAAATACAAATATTCTCTATGAAATTATAAGATGGAGTTGTTGAATGTTGAAGTTAGATCAGTAATAATATTATTGTGGCGAAACTGTAGACTTCAGTATTTTTTTAAACTGCAAATAATATATTTCTAGGAAAAAAAAGTCTGAATACACACCCGAATGCAATTTATAAGTAGGTAGGCATGTACCTATACTATACGTAGGTATACTTAATATTACTTATTATAGTCGACATTTCTGTAACCTCGATGTTTTTATCAAGGAATATACCTACTTATAACACTAAAAAAATGGTTTGAATTTGAATCGCTTTAAAAATTGTTACAAAATAATCGGACGACAATGTGCCGTTTTGAAATCTAAAACATTCTATAGAGCCGATCGAGTTGAAAACTGTTTTGTCTGGTATGGCCTACAATATCTATTTTACACCAAACAATACTACCGAATTCCAGAAAATGCACATATACAGATATTTATGGGCTGATTTTGAGAAAACATTTTTGGATCGATACAAACAATTTACAATAGTAGGTCAGGGCAATGATAATAACAATAATATTATTGTTGCCATATTAATGTGACAATACACACGGCCGGCATAGGTACCACCCTTGCCCGCAATAGACTGAATATCAATGTGCAAAGTTTGTCAATGTAATTAAAATTTTAAATGTTTTATACCTTGAATTATTACTATTGTCATTTCAACAAAGTATACTAAACCGTTAAAGTGTTCATGTGATACATGATTACTTAAAAGGTCCATAATGTGTATGATACTGTACAATATCAGATCATATTTATAATAAACAATATAAAAAAATCAGTATGAAAGTTAAAGCTATATTCTAGTAAAGTATTTTTTAAATATTATTATTATAATTAAGCTGGACATTTTACGACATTTTGAACACATGATATTATTTTATAATATGATTAATAATTATTATTAGTGATTGAATTGAAAACTTTAAAATTATGATACATTTTAATTAATTTTTAATTGTAACTGAAAACCAAAATATACGATATTAAGTTTATTTTTAATTGGAGTATAATATATCTATATAAGTTGTTATTCTTAGGTTTATCAATGGACGCTTTGAAATTCATGTGTTTAGTAACGTATGTTATGCTTGTAAGTATATATTATTACTGTAGTACTGTACGTAGTATGTTTGTCTAAATTATATCCAAATTAATTCAACAATATTATTAAGTAAATAAATGATTAATTATTTATTAATTATTAGATTGTGAAAAAAGAAAATATGATTCCGGAGATAGGTAAGAAATGTTATAAATATTTTTTTTTAATAGAAAATGTTGTACGCAAAGCACTAATATTTTACACTTTAAAGTTTAAACCTATGTCTTTTCACAAAATTAAATAGGTACAAATATTAATTAAATGGATGAATACTAGTAATAATACTACATATTATTTTAATTTACGTATTCAAACTATACGATATAAATGAAGATAAACGTCGAATTCCATATAACGAATACTAAAAATTAACATAATTTATCATACATAGCAACATATTATATTAAATGTATCCTAATATAATAATTTTTGAAATTATGTCTGAAAGCCTAAACGATAATATTATTGTTCGCTGTTCCGTACTTAGCTTTAAAATTACATAATATTAAAAATTAAAATAAAACGCAACCCAGTACACAAATATAGAGAGTTAGTGCTCTTTTTTTGTCAATATGATTGAATCTCTTTCAAATACGTCAGCAAGTATTGATCAGTGACTAAAGTTTTTAATCCAAAATACGTCTTGAACCGAAATTCATTAGCAAATATTGGCTAGCTACGAAGAAGACGTTATCAAGTATATAGCAATGCACACAGCGTGATTTCAGACGTGTTTAAAAATGGAAGAACTTGTATGAAGACTTATGGTGGAAAATTGAACTGTCTGCAGTAATTATTTTATTCTGTCAGAAGTACAAACCATCGTGAAGTTTTCAATTACATTCGTCTCACGGATCGGATGATTTCGATTGGATTGATTTTTTGATAATCAAATGTCACAAAACACCTCTCTAGACAATATTTCTCGATGAATCTGTTTAAAACCAGAACCAGAAGGAATCTTAAAAGGTTCAACAATTACAACGATATCGGAAATTCTAACTAGATATCTATAGTAATCATTAGGATCGCAAACGTGATAAACATGATATTTGCAGATTCAACTTTTCAGTTATTATGTGTTACCTATTTGTTACAACTTACAGCTTCATTTAAATATATCCCATAAGACAAAACATGCAACTTATCAAACGAATAACAATATTTCAAAAGTTAGAGTTTAAAATATTTACGTACAACGATATTAACAAATTCATAATACCTTATGTAATAGGTTTTGTGTTTATTTTTAGGAAAAGACAATGTTTCCGTACCAGGGTTAAACACTGAAAGAATAATTGATATACTCAATAATAACGAAATTATGGCGAAAATATTTCCACTCGATAATCATTCTAATGTTAGAGTAGAAATGTTAAAATTCTTAGGTGGTCAAGAAGTCAATGTAATAGATAATCTTGTCGCTGAACTAAAAAAAATTAAAAACGGTACGTACTAATATTGAAAGTCAATATTTTTATTATTTTCCGTAATACCTACATAATTAAGTATTAATTACGCACACTCGCCTACTATAACTTATATTATATTAAATAAAATATGATCAATTAATAACACTTCATAGAGTATTATTACTAATACTGAGGACTCTAAAGAGAAGCATAATATCTTTATAAAATAGGTAGAACATAGAAAAGTAATATACGAATATATAAATAGTTCATGTTAAAAATTTTATTTGGAATTATTCCACTGATAGTCCTTATTTTTCTAATTTTCAAATATAAGTGCATTTATCGTACACACATTTTGGCATTAGGTAAATAATAATTTATCAATAAGATTATTTTCTAATAATAATAATTTGGTTTTTTTTTTTAGTAAAATAATTTTAGAAAAAAACAAAATAAATGATAATATTGTAAATTAATAATAAATATTTTTGTAGGAAAAACTATAAAATTAAAGTCAGTAATTAGCCATAATATATACTATACTCAATTAATTTAAATAAATAAATGGAATGAGAAATTAAGAATGAGTGATTAAATTAAAAATAGTAGATGTTTAATAATTTGTTATGGGTTAACATAGTTAACACACATTTTCCCCGCTGGGACGAGGTTAATTGATTTACTATTACTACTATATAAAATACAACATTTTAGAACATATTTAGTAATTTTTTAATGCATGCCGTCCTTAGTCCTAATATTATTACGTATGCAATCAATAATTATTGTACATCATTATATACATATATAAATGTTTGTATGATGTTGTTGCTGCAATATAGTATATACCTACACTATATATAATACCACATAATATGAAGCTATACATTATATTATAATTATTGTTAAATTTAGCAAAGGGAGGCAATCCTGCTCAAAACAAGTTAACTATATTTGATATATTACAAAATATTGAGTTATTTAAAAAGTTATTTGCAATGAAAGAGTATGCAGATGTGAAAATGAAAAGTTACTTTGGCGTCGACTTTGGTCAACTTAAAAACGAGATCGTTGATGAAATTAATAAAAATAATGGTAAGATCGTTTCTATGAAGTCATTGAATTATTTTTATCTTTCTTTCAAATAAAATGAAAACAACATTTAAACTACCTAATATTCTATACCAAAAATTAAAATAAAAATAATTATATTTATCAGCTTATAAAACAAAAACAACTAAATGGTTGATAATATAATATAAGTACCTACTTATAACTTTACACCATGCATTTCAAATAAAACTTTGTTTTTGAATTAATTTAAATATTTTAGCACAAATAGATCAGGAAACTAGTATTTTCAGTTCTGTCGTTCCCAAATCAGTATCCAACGCGCTAATGGCTGTATATAAGGTCGGCCTAAGAAAAGCGAATGACCAAATGGGAAGTGTCAATGTAGATATCCAAAAGCAAGCTGATCGAATGATGAAAGCTCCTGGTTCGTCCGGTAAGCAATAATATAACCTAAACATACCTCTACATAGGAATTGAAAAAATTGCAGTTGGGTACAAATCTTTAAACATTCGGTGGTTATTGATAATCAATAACACATATTACTAAACAAGTATACTCAGTTCAGAGAGAGAAACCTTCGGTTCTACGCATCCCCCCGCGTCACTTTGCTATCGAAACCGGTTCCCCTAAGGCGGGGTGTTGCGTGGGGGAACCAGTTTTGGTCAGTGCTCATCACGTTCTGTCACTGAACTGAGTATAGTTAAGCATAACACGCTGTTTACGTTACATTACTACCGTCGTTTAATCTGAAATTGCATTACTAGGAAACACGAAACAAATATAATATACCTAGCTGCACCTCTATTTTTTAAATTTAATAGTATGTTTTTTTCGCAGAAACTGAAAGTACTGCATTGGGATTATTTAGAAAAGCCATAAATATGGCACCCAAACCAGTTGTATACGGCCTAGCTGGAGGGAAGGTCGTGGCAAACCGATTCAGTAGTTACTTTAGAAAGACAAACAGTGATGCACCAACTAACAGTAAGACAATTTCAAACAATAATTAAGTAAAAGTCAAATAACAAAAATATATTATAAAATACTTATATAGTATATTATATTATAATGTTTACGATAAATGTAACTAAACTACTCAGTTATAGCTAAAGAAGCACGTAAAGCATATTATATAGTAACTACAAAACAGTTTTGACCAACCATCTATATAAAAGTTATCATTGAAATATCAAACGCTGTCACAAGTAATTCGTATTATTGATGCACTCAAACAGATTAGCAAACTTATTTTTTTTTTCGTTTAATATCAGCTTAATAAAATTTTAGAGTCATAAATTCTAGAATCTAGGTTTTAGGTTGAAATTATAAATAAAATAAAAATATTCATGTGAAAGTGAATACTGAATTGTAATACGAAGTTATGAATCATATAAGTTTAAATCGAAAATGACCATTTACAATTTATAGATATACCTACCATTATCTCAAATTATGCATTAATAAGAACATTATAAATATTTGGATTTTTCTGTGTTAACAAATGTATACATTTTTATTCAGGCGAAGTGGCTGTTACACCAAACAATTGAAAATGTCATAGAAATGGATTTTTAAAAGAGTTTTTAAGTACGTCTTTTATTCAGATAATATTTGTGTCATTTTTCTTATTAAATGAAAAATATCAACATTTAACTTAATTTTCATTAATTCATCCATTTTCATCAACTAATTTTTTTAAATTATATTTTTAATTAAATCAAAAAAAGTTGTTATTATATTTAATGAATGTAATTAGTTACGATATTCGTATAATAATAAACTAACCAAGAAATATTTGAATCAAACAAAAGTAACGATCTTAAAGAAAATAATAGAGACAAATAATTTAATTAAAATAAAACTGAACCTTTGATATAAAATTTAAAATTTGATTTATTATGTAACTAAATAGACAAATCGCATAGAAAATAATATATTAAACACACAAAATATAATATTTCTAAAAAAAATCAGATACACATAAAACTCATCGAAATGTAATTTACAATCGAATGGTTCATAATAAAAGATCAGGACACACCAGAATCACTCATGGTTTCCTCATGGCCAGAGAGGATCCTCCCATTTGCCAAACCTGTGGAACTGCATTAACCGTCAAGCACATAATAGCTGACTGTTTAATGTATAATCAAGAGCGCGCTGATCATAGGATATCATACCACCTTCACACTACACTTGGACCCAATCAAGAAAATATCCTAGATATAATTAATTTTACAAAACAAACAAAATTGTTTAATTGTATTTAAAAAAAAAAAAAAATGTTCCAGTCCTAATTATTTATTCTAATATCGTATATCATTTGTAAATATTTGTAAATATTTGTAACTAATGGCCTTTGTTGTCGATGTTATTGTGATCAATAAAAAAAAAAAAAAAAATAAAAGATCATCCAACGCTATATCTATAATTTAGTGTAATATACGTCATAATAACATTATTTGATTATTTTCAATTTAATATGAGAATAATACATTCTATTGTGTGGTTTTAAATAATGTAGGGAAAATAAATAATCGAGAAACCATAAAAATGAATAATATTGAAATAAGAATTTACATTAAAAAATTTTGATGCAACAATAAAAAATTCGAAAAATGGAATCTTATACTTAAAAGCCAGTCAAATTAGTTAATGACAACATTATTATTCAAAACATTAATATTATTGTAGTACGATATTTGAAAAATAATTGTCGTTACTAAGCCGTATTATACAACACGCGTGGGATTAATATTATAACGAAAAATGAATAACAGGTTTTATCTAACCATTAAAATATGAGGTACATTCCAAAAATATCATATTGTAGACTATATTGTAATACATTTTGTAGCAATATCGATAGAGTTTGGCACAAAAGAAACTATTATATTCTCTTGGACCTAACGAAACACGTATTGTTTTTTTGTCGTATAACATATAAAACATTTTACGCCAAACGTTTTATTTTGCATGAACAGATCATCGGCATAGGTTTACCTCCGAGACTACAACGTTATAGAAGATTTAATCTGAGTAAATTCATAAGCTCTTCCATAGTTCTATCCTACAACCGTGACCAAAAACACGGTTTTGACCCGGTGGCCGGTTGTATTCGAAAACCGGAAATTTCCAAACAAACTTTACCCGTAACTATTATATACCCGTGGGGGGGACCCCACCACCAGCTTTACGAACCCAAAAACAGTCTTTCCGGAAAATCTACTCGACAGCGAGCGCGCATATTATTTTTAAAAATAATACCTACGTCGCATTTCCGCGCAGACTGGAACTTGCTGGTCCGTTTCGATCCATTTAACAATACTGCAATACGCTCCTCAGAGCGGATATATCGATGACAACCGACCATTTATGTTTGCAACCTTCCCTCTTCGAATTAATAATAAATATGTACCTATATATATATTGTTTGCACCAAGTGCTGCCTTTAAATATGATATGATTAAATTGACTTCCGTAAAAAATTCGTAAAAAACCCCTCACTCGTGACGGACAGCAAAGTAAGTTGGTATCTGTGCGTAACACGCTTAATCGATGGTGGAAACGCAGGACCGATGAAAAAACTTAATAGTTTTCACGACTTGAAACAAAACCTGCGAATCCCGTCACGGATAGCCTGCAAGGATGCAAGTCGAATGAATGGACGAGAAGCAATAAATCATTTTCAATATATAACAGTTAAACATAGTCACATAAAAAAAAAATGTAGGTACACTTCAATATTACATTAGATTAACGGTAAACATAATTCCAATGACAAATGTCAAAAACATATACCTATTATATTATTTTGATTATTTTCATACCTACTCTGGCAATACCTAGTTCAGATGCACCTGGGTTAGGTAGTACAGTTTTTGTTTTACTAGCAACGTATAGCTAGTTCAGCTACGGATTCGATTTTCCAGACTTACATACATGTATATTTTAATAAATTTGAAAAAAAAAAACAATTTTTTGAGGGGAGTAAAATTATAGTAATGAAAATTAGTGTGCAGTGGTATAATAATTTACCACTTTGGTATGTTAAAGCGATTACTGACAAAGAGATGATGACAATAACAACTTTTGAGTACAGGCTTACCACTCGTATGACATTATATTTCCCGTTGCATCAAGTGGTAAAATAATATACCAATAACTCATCGGTAGAAAAATAAAAAACTGTCTGGTAAATATAGCTACCAGAGACCTATAAAGGGACGTTAAACCGACATATTTTGTTGTCTCCGTCGTACAAGTGCGTAACATAGCAAATTGTACGCTCAGCAGAACACGTTTAGCCCAGTTACTTTAAAAATTAGAGTGAATTGACCTTTTATAAGATTTAAAGGTATGATTATTATATAGGGAATATCATCGGCTTTTGGTTATGTTTTAATTTTAAACTGAGTTATGAGTATTTTAAAATTGTAAATTTATTTTTCGTGCATATTAATATACTTTACCGCATATTTTACAATAAAATATTATATTTTATTTTATTACATACGTTATATTATTAACAAACATATTATTCACGGCAGCCAACTTGCTCGTCGATTCCTGGAAACCGACTCGTACAATTAAATGAGAAACGCAACATGCCAACATCACGCAGAGTTGCCCAAAGCAACAAATTCTTGGAAAATATGATCGTAAATTCTTAGAATTATCATATTTACACTGACTGCCAATAACAAGTCGAAGGATATACGCTGTACAACAACACCTTCATTTAAAGCCACCTCCGTCCTATAGTCACTACTGTGCAGCTAGGCGAGACTTCATATTATATAAATACGTGTGCCACTACGCTATGTAGTTAGAATTAGTCTAACATCCCAGCTTGTATGACTTATTTGAGGCCCTGACTTTCCGCCTTATTGTCAAGTTCATTCCTGTAGTACGTACCCTTTAAGGATTATGTAGGTATATATGTTTTTGAGCCATGTCCTAAAATCGTAACTTGTCCTAAAAGTTTAGATCCAAAGTAGGTATTGGCGAAGGTACCCAGCTAATTTCTCGAGTAGAGTTATTCTACACTATGTCCACAAATCGTAAAAGTATTAAATAAATACATATTTTACGAACTCAAAAATCAACAGTTCCTATATAATATTATGAGGCACCTAGGTACTACAGGAAAAGTTGACACTACGATATTGTATACCATCTGTGTGTATGACTATGACGATATCTTATACGATATTGAAAGACTAATGGAAACCTCCATAGGTGGTGATGGCACTTAATTTGCTCATATTATGGAGTTTGACGGTATTGTAGTAAGCCAGTTACTACGGAGAATATCAATTTCATAAATATATAGTTATTATTATAATATACGATGGATCGGCATAACCAGGTAATAAGACAATTAGAGATCAGGAATAGGCGTTGTAACATTTACAGAAACACTACCAATTTCACGGGTGCATAGTTAGTTTAATATACTGTAGAACGGCCTAAAACAAATATTACAAGAAAATGGTTAGGTCTCCTTATGTTAAATATAATGAGACAAAACCACTGAATACTCAGGACGAGGGGTTCAAAAATAAGCATATATAATATTTTACAGAAACACTGTACACGACAAATTCAAATAAAAAAAGAGTAAAATGATTATTTTAATAATAATCATAGTTTGGAAATGCAGTCAATCGTAAATGCGTGGGCTGGGATGATGAGCACACAAATCACATCCGTGAGAACCGAGATATCGTATATGTAGGCAAGGGGTACGGGGAACCTCATATATAAGGGAGCCCGAATCGGCCTGTATTCAGACGTGTACTACCACCCATTAGTGCAAGCACCTTCACGCCACTTTGTACAACATTATTTTGGACTTAGAAAATTATCGAACGTTTTAATAAAATCTCACAATATTATATCATACTTCAACTGTCTTATTATTATTATCATCCACGACTACAACATCATCAGAAAAAGTGTCTGCGACCTGCATCTATAATAACTTGGTAGCCACTTATCTACTATTAGTACTACGATAGTAGGTACCAAGCACCAAGCTTATTACAGTATAGTTGCAAATTTTAACAGATTTTACTCAAGTATAACGATCCTTGGACTGATATAGGTTTTATAAGCATGAAATACAGATTAAGGACGCGTGTAACCGGTAGGCTTATATTACATTATGCAGAACTTATTATTTTGTCGTGTACCTGTTCAGTTTGACTCAGAAGGCCATCTCACGCCGGAGTGACGAATATTAAAAATAAAACCATGATCATAAAAAAAAACGAAAAATATTATACACAGAATTACATATTACATATTAGTATATTACCTATATAATAATAACGGTGGAGAAAAATTTCATAATCTCTTTTGCATTAGGGGTATACATTATGTATATTGCTTCTTTAACCAACCATATTTTGTACCTGAATAGTTGTTGGTCTACATAACCCTCCCCCCCCCCGTCATAACTAGACACTAACGACGTTCGAGAGAAACTCAGCAGAGAAGTTTTTTTTATCACGCATTTTTCCAACTGAAATTTTATACACGCAAT